GGTCACGCTCATAGCAGCACTTTGAGTGCATGCACAGGCACCCTCCTAAAAATACACCCCAGAGGAGTGCAGCTGAATGCAAACACTGCTCTTTCTGTAATAGATAGCTCTTTCCTCACTGGATTGGCTGGCACAAGCTGATCATGGTCAAATGATGCCTTGGTTTTTGAGGCTGTTTTTTAAAAGAAAGAAAGTACTGAAGAATGAACACAGACAGAGACTGAGCTTTTCAAATGAACAAATGAAAGGATCCTGGCATTCTGGTATTCCCCTCTGAAAATCACAGAAGCTGGGCCTGAAGTTTCCATTATTCTGATCACTTTCTAAGTTTATATCACATCATGTTTTTAAGGTTTCAAATAGGTTTCAAATACCTTAACCAGCATTTTTCATTTTTAAAGAGATTTGGTATCAAGCAATAATGTCCCTATTACATCCACTCAGCCATATACTCTTTCTTTCCCAATTTTTTATTTGAAACCAGAGAAACAGTTCACATTTCAGAAATATATGAAATTTATATAAGTACTTAAGTACTAATTTCTAGAGAGATGTGGAGCAAATTCTGGTGCATAACTTTAATTTTTTATGCTTAGCTAAAGTCAGGCATGTCCAGCCAGTAATGAAGCCAGGTGTCTAAAGAAGAAGACCACCCAAAAACCCCTTTAGAATTCTAGCTGTTAGCAAAAGGTATTTCTTTAATCCTACCTGACACATTTTCAGTGTGTTCTCATCATTTCTCTGCTTAAATATAATCTTGGAGGATCATACTTTGAACAGCTATTCATTTATCAGCTAGGTTTGATATTTGCATGTATTTTTCTGCCTGGCCACCTTGCTCTAGGGAAGGTAGCAGCTGAGGACTGGGACCCGCGGCAGGAGCAAGGACAGCCACCTCTGCAGGACGGTAAGGCTGTCACTCATCCATCCCTCCTCCTCAGGAGACCCTCCAGGCAGGAGGGTGCGGAGCACAAGCCACTGGCTCCTGTTTCCATCGGCTTCTCCAGGGCCAGGTCTCTGGCTGACGGTGAGGGAGAGAAAAAGCAAGCGGTCACCTCCTGGTAGAGGCAGTGTTACTGCAGGATGAGCTAACAGCGGATACATTGCTCAACACCCATGGGAGGGACTTTTTAAATATCACCGTGATCACTGGACCCTCCCCTTCAACCTGAGACGACGCTTTGAATAAATCAGTCTCTGACTGACAGCACCAAAGATTTAGTTTTTATCCCTATTACTAGCCTGAAAACATGAAATAAAAAGCCCATGGTGTGAGCTGTTTGAAGAGGTATTTTGCATTTTAAAAAAGGGATGACGTGAAAAAGAATTTGTGGGGATACAGACAGCTTTGCTCAAAAGCATCTCTCTGTTACCTTGAGCCGGCTGCCTCTTTTGAGTTTCAGCCATGACAGTTAGCCAGCCAAAAAAACTAAATGAGAAAACACATCCTCTAAACGTGGTGGGTCCCCTTGTGGTAGATAATTTCTGTGGAGCTAAGCTGGAATTAAATCATCTGCCCAGCACACTGCTCTGTGCCTGGCAGCAGCAGCACAGGGCTGCCCACCCAAACATCCACGCAGCCCTTGGGCGCACGGAGCAGCCCACGCCGTGCCCGTCGCTATCTCTGGCACAGCTAAATCTGGCCAGCAGCCGTGGGCTCTGCCCGTCTGCCTCCGCCACGGCAGCAGCACACGCCACCACGGCATGACATGGCAGCCAACCCTCACAAGTGGAGCATGAGCCTCCTGCTGCTGCCAGCGTGGAGAGCTTTTTCTTAAAAACAAGGGCAAAATCGTGCTGATGAGAAAATTGTCCTAACAGGAACTGAGCAGGGCACCGTCAGACGTTCCTTTCCTTAATCGCAGACTGATGTCTCTCAGAGGCAGGCTGATATTCAAGCACCTTCTAAAACATGATACCTTCTAATACCAGGTTGGGGGGAAAATAAAGAAAAAAAGGACAGTCTGATAAACAACTGTCCCCACTTCATCCTGCTCCCTGGCTCCAATAGAGCTGAGAGTGCTGCTATTTGAGATGGGCAGAAACTGCTGGCTTGTGTTCAGAATCTATAGTGCAGTGGGCCCCTTCCTGGGGCAGGGAAGGTGGTAAGACTGGAGTCAGGCTTGAATTTCAGACAGATCTGGAGTGCCACAGAAGTCAAGAACATTTAGAGGAATTTGGCCAGACCCTTTTCTCCTCTGTAATTGATGCCTCTAGCTGTGAGATCTCTTTTTGTTGTTGCTTGGCCAGAAATCACCTAGAAATGCCTGTTCTTATGAGACTTGTGGCCAGATTGCCAGAGGCTACAGTCATTTCGGCAGTGATAGACATATCAAAAGCCAGATATTAAACTCTTCCTGATTGTGCATTGGAAACTGCCCCAAAGTTAATTCCAAAGCAGTTTTGCAGAGTGTAATATTCAACCCAAGCCTCTTGGAGCCAGCCCAACATTTAACCTGAAGCTATAGCTTGTCTGCCCTAAGGAAAAAAAAAAAAAAAAAAAAAAAAAAAGGAACAGTCAAAATCCTAGCAGATATGTATATAAATCAATAAGAAATAATAAACCAATAAACAAATGCAGTTATCAGTAGGGCAGAGCAGTAAAATGAAAAATTTGTCTGGCTGCAGCCTCCACAATCTGGCGCTCCTGCAAAGGTGTCTTGTCCTTCTTAACAGCGAACACAGCCATAAATGGCCAAGCTGCCAAGACCTGAAAAGTCCAATGTTTATGCCCATGTACCTCAACCAACACTCCTTTCATCCTCTTCCTTTTTTATGCTGATAATGCACCAACTGTGAGATATAAAAGGTCTTTTGGGCTATCAAACCCATCCCTCTGGGTTCCACATTTTGATAACTGCTTCAATCTCTCTTATGTGTTATAAAAGCCCTTATCACCACAGCAGCAAAGAGCTGGGTAAAAGTGTTTTGCCTCAACTTCATCTTAAACTCAAAACTTTTGCTACTTTGAAGGAGAACTTTGTGCACAGTACAAAGCTTAGACTTCACCTCCTTGACACTGCCAATGTCTTCAGGAGGGTGTAAAAGACAAGCCTACTCTGGGCTGCAGCTTTATGGTGGAGTGAATGGAAGGGCAAGCTGCCAGGGGACACAGCCCCTGGCCTGTGCCTTGCACTTCATTCACTACCATGTGCCCGCGTGCTGAGCTGGCTCTGAGAGCTGGCTGAAAATGAACCCTTTTTTTTTTTTTTTTTTTTTTTTTTTTTTTTTTTTTTTCCTTGCATTTTTTTTCCCC